TTTGATATCGCAATCCAATGTGAATGAAGTAAGCGATCAGAAGATTCAAGACAATTTCCTAGAGGTCTCTCGAGGAATTTACACACATGAAGATTTAATCTAATTTTTTTAATCAAGCAAAACGTCTCCAGTCTTGGAATACCGGAGACATTGTCGCCGGAGATGCAGTCGCTGTTAGAAGGTTTACTACAACGAGAGGTCAGCAAAAGACTCGGCTGCCGTGGTAACGGCGCGAACGAGATAAAGGCGCATCCGTTTTTCAATGGTATCGATTGGCAACAGGTGTATCTGCTAAAGTATACTCCGCCGTTAATACCGCCGCGCGGCGAGGTCAACGCCGCGGATGCCTTCGACATCGGCTCTTTCGATGAGGAAGACACAAAAGGAATCAAGCTGACAGATGCGGATCAAGAATTGTACAAAAACTTTTCTACAGTCATCTCCGAAAGATGGCAGGCTGAAGTGGCCGAGACTGTGTTCGAGACAATCAATAACGAAGCAGACAAGGTAAGAGATAAATATTTTATCTAATTGCCTATAATAACTTCACTGATTATCGAGTCTTTACTAAAGATTTTGCTTTGTCTCGTCCTCCATAGATGGAAAATAAAAAGAAGGCGAAACAAAAACAGCGGTTTGATACAGATGAAAAGGGTAGGTGTATCGCATATCACATGGATATTCTAGAATCTAAATGGAATTGAAAATACATTTGTATTTGCAGGTTCGGATTGTATATTACATGGTTATATAAAGAAATTAGGAGGTCCATTCGCAAGTGCATGGCAGACGCGCTACGCAAAACTATATCCAAATCGGTTAGAGTTACATCCAGAATCAGCAACTAAGCCTGAGCTCGTATTTCTTGATCAAGTAAGTACATCATGTACCGGAGAAAAATATTGAAGAGGATAAAAAATCAAATTATGATTTTCAAAATACAATTAGTATTATATCTCATACTTGACATGCAATACAATACATTTTCTCTTCAAGAAAAAAAAGGGTAATTATGCGATGTAAAATATCTTTAGGTCGAGGAAGTAGGAGCGGATCTGCAATTGGTAAAAGGGGAACAATGCATCGTAATGCGTACAAAGGATGCAAAGATCGTACTTACAAATGCCGTAAGTGAATCTTTCATTGTCTCTAGATAATACTTTGTGATAAAGTGCAGCAATTAGAACTCAAACAAATGACTTTAACTGCATAATCTAATTATTCAAACAATTTAAAGTAGAAATGTTCGCGTTTCAATTTCGGATAATTCATATAATTCGAATTGCGTTAATATATAAAGACATTAATCAGATCTTAGCATAGAACCTCGAAAGATCCGAGAGATTTAAGATTATTCTCAAGTAGAAAGTTTGAACTATCTATTGAATGATCGTCCGAATTATCTGATTCTCAAAAGTTAGAACATTAAATTTCGAACTACCACTAATAATTGATTCACCTTAGGACGAGATAAGTTTAAAAGAATGGGCGCTCTCGTTGAGATCGGCACACAAATGCTCAATGGAGATGCTCGGAAATATGGCGAGAAAAGCAGGCAAGATTTACGGGACTGAACGGGACGCAGTGATCCCAGCAACGCAGCGGTCGACAAACGGCAACTAGCCCCTTGTCGTCATGTGCGACGTTGCACCATCATACTCCAGTCCCACTGCCCCGCAGCAGCGACAGCAGCAACAACTTTTTTTATACTAAACCGACGGGGAAAGCAGCGATGAATAGAAAAAAAAGGATTTAAGGAAAGAGCGAGGAACGGAATGGCAATATAGGTAGTGCCACTTCCTTCTGGAAGCTCGCTCTAAATTTTAACGTTACAACGTTAAAAAAAAGCGGCTAAATCCCTCTTTTCGGCACACCTCGATCAAACGGAACGTCCCAAAGAAAATTTCGTTATACGGCGGATAGCGCTGCGCTGTGTATTATAGATACTTTAGCCAAGTAGTGTCGTATCGTGCGTACGTTCTCCCAGGGCCATGAGGATAATGCGCGCGCGCCCATACATACACACAATACATTTACACAAACGTACACTTATACATAAAATAATACGTACACATACGCAAGTAATTGCGGTTCCTTCTGGTCACGGACGCGGGCGTGTAGGCATCTCGTTATATTTGTACATTAGTTATATGTGCAATATGTGACGTAGCGACTAGCGACCGACCGAGCGACGAACAAAAATTGACAGATAACACACGGGAACACATCTGGTATTATTATGACCTAGTACTCTCTACACGATCCCGTATTCTTATTATTTTCTACGCATTTCGTCATATCGCTCGTTTACTTAATTTATTTACTAATGTAGAGAGAGAGAGAGAGAGAGAGAGAGAGAGAGAGAGAGAGAGAGAGAGAGAAAGACCAGTTTTATATTATCCTTACGAAGCAAAAGTGACCCATTATTTATTGTGTTGTTAAGTGCGAGAGAATGAGAGAAGAAAAATAAGAAAACTTTGTTTGTATATTAATCAAAAGTGAACCGAATGCATGCAACATATGTACGCTCGAGTGGATATACGCGAGTCCGCTCCGGCAATAAAATATGCGATGAACGTAGATGAGAAGAACTTTTTTTCGTCCTGCATCATGTGTAGATCAACAAAAAAAACTAAAAATCCAGTAAGTATTTGTGATCTCCATTACGTTATATTTTGAACAGATCGTAATCTTTACGTAATCGAACGATGTGCGGAATTAACAAATGTTCGATTTAGCAGTTATATGACAAAAAACTACATATCAATATCACGAATGAATTGATCTATGGTTCATTTTTTCTATCGTAATAATCGAAATTGGTACATTTTTGGAAGATAGATTTTATTTCGATAATCACATTTATTAATCAAATAACATCCTGTAATAGTTTTCATTCGTGAGATTTACGTACAAATTAATACTCATAATTTATGTACGCGTGTTTGCTTGAAACTATTTAACATTCGCTGCGCACTTTTCATTTTATATATACATTACTTAGGGATCATTTGTAGAACCGTGAAAAAATTTTATTTTATAGGTTTACATCAAATAATTATAACGTATTAAACTCATCGTAAGATTTACACGATACGAACATTATAATTAGCGATCACTGTGATAAAGAAAAAGAGAGTATATATATGAGAGTATATGATAAGAAACACGTTATATTCTATCTATCACGAATCTCCTTCAACAACAATGCTAATGTGAAATCTACCGATCCGGCTGACTTGAGTCTTCGTTCCAGAGCTTCGAAGTCTGTTCTTTCGAGCCACGTTGGCGGATCGCTCTCCCTCGGTGGCAAAGGACACAGCAGCCTTTCGACAGCGGCGCATAATCCGCACCATTCCCTAAATCCTAGCGGCTGAGTTATATCTCCTATCACAGACTTTATATAAGATCGCTGCTCATCCGTCAATGCCTTCCCAACCACTTCCCCAAGAGCTTCTTCAATATCGCTCGGTGAAATGTGCCGTGCACTATGCAACGCCTCCTCGATAAATTTATTAAATATTCGACCGAATATCAGTTTTCTTCCCGACGTGACGTAGGCGTGTTTACTGAGGTACTGAAGTGACGTTAAATCTGTAACGATTACGTTGTCGTGAGTTCCAATCGATGAGATAAAATAAGAAAAGGTATTCTATGAGGTATGATGTATTATAAATTCTAAAATATAGAAGCGTCAAGAAATAATGGTTTGCAGGAACATTTTGTTTAATAATTTTTACTTGTTTTAGTAGAAAATCACATATCAATACGTATTAATTAAAATCGCGGCATACCACAAAGACTTTGACTATCAAGCAATTCAAATCGCGCCGCTTGACGGGAGAATATCCGAAGAGCGTTTTCCACCGATAAACTGGCACTGGTTTGACGAGATCCTCGCAAAGTATATGCATCGCCTTTCACTCGTAACGCTTCTTCTAAGGCGATTCGTCTCTAAAACAATTAAATTATTTATAGAAAAGATTTTTATTGGTCGAAATAGAAGATCAGCATCTACCTTGATTGAGAATTCCGCCTCCACTTTGTCACGATCCAGCTCTCTGCACAAATGCTTCAATATATCTGGTTCGAGAAAACTCGGAGGCATCGTATGACTTGTTACCTGTGCGGACGTTCTCTTGGGAGATGTCGAGCCATCGACCTCGCCATCGTTTACGTGAAGCCTGTTACAATTCATTGAAGAGAAAACATTATTTTTTTTTTAAAGAATTAATTTTTAGAGAATTTAGAAAATTAACAAATTTTTTTTTATTCTCAATTGACTTTGTATATATTCTCATTTTATATATATATATAAACATAATGTAACATTTCATGCAGATGTCTAATTTTTATGGATACTGACGACGATCGCCGTGATCCGTTTCCGATCTGCGAAACCTGTGTTACCGTGGGCTCGAGCGGATCACGAACTTCCGTTTGCTGGCCGTAAGTCGAGCCTCTCCTACACTTTCTTTTACGTAATCGCTTTCCCCGTCTTCGTATAATTGTTGGTTGCTGCTCGTTGTCGCTATCGACTTCTTCTTCCACGTTTCGGGATGAACTCTTGTATAAGCGATGGTAATATTATTTTCCAAATGTCGAGCAGTCTCAAATGAGAAAAAGGTACACGTGTAACTACTTCTAGAAACGAAATTGACTTACCATTTCACATTTTTCAGCAATAGGCGAGGAAAGTGACGAAGGAGGTGGCACAGATATCGTTAATGAATGTTGTGATCGTAAGGTCGGCTTACAGATAAATATTTCGCTTTTCCGAGGTGTTGGTGGTAGTTCGAGCGTAAGAGCATGCCAGCTGAACGTTTCGTTTTCCTAAAACCCGTACAAACTGTCAAGTAACACCTTCGCGAACGGACGTCTCAAATAAAGAAACAAGATAGCTTGAAAAGCTAATTTCAATGTTGAAAGCGGGAATGTTTAAAGTTTAAAGTATTCTTTCAGTATTACAATATCTCTTCATGAATTATTTGCTCTCACAAATTATTAATTATTTTAATAATTAAATTAAAACTGAATTAATTTTAATTGCCTGCAACATGTTACTGCATAAATCAGTTCATTTTCTTTTATATTTTACATCTCTATGTAGAAGAAATAGTTTTGTTGAATTAGCTAAAAATTTAAAATTTACAGATATAAATCTGAAAATAATTTTATTGAACCATCAAAATAATTATTTACAATGATAATGCTGCAAAAAGTTTTGACATTTTAACAACCAATTTAAATACATATAATTATTTTAATGATCTGTTTAAATTATCTGTTTTATTATTTTCAGATTTGTATCTAGCTAAATTTTTAAATCCTTCAACAAAAACTCTTTCCGTGTATTCATTTTGTTCATATTTTATTATTTTCATATTACAATAATTTTAATAATCTTTTTTTTATATATATTTTATTAGTGCTTTTGTAAGAGAATTCTGTATTTTATCTTAACTACAGCAATTATCTTTGCAATTATTCTTAGATCGCTTTATCGTTTCTTCTTTGATAAGGAAACTTATCTTTGAGCGCAATGAGTCAATCTATCTACAAAGGCCGAAAAAAAGATATCATCTGCGGCGACAAATCGTCGGCCGAGACTCTGTATTTGACACCGACCACCTGCTGGTTCTGCGAGGTCGTTCGGAGATCCAGAACTAGGGTGGTGCGCTCGCGCGGGTTGCAGGTCGCCGGCAAATCTTCCTGGGCTGCGCGACCAGTTAATGCCGTTGGTCCGCTAGCAAGCGTGGGCGCCGGGGTCAAAGGTCGCGAATCGGTTTCCGTGTATTTCCGGAAGAGCTCCTCGGGCACCGCCGAAGCGGTCATCTCAGTATTATAACCATCGTCGCCACCTCCGACATTTCCAGCTGCAGTCTCGCCACCACCGCCTGCACCCACCGCTAATAGGCTCGTCCGTATCATTTCCATCTCCTCCGGCAGCAAAAGTGCTTTCCCTTCGGTCGCCTAATGAAAAATGCGCGAGTTTCATTAAATGATATAATAAACAAAATTCGCTGTAATTTATAGGAAAGATGACAACAATTGAGATTAAGTATTTTCTTTCTTAGCTTTCCTAAAATAGTTACCTATAATAGCTCTATTAATTTAATCACTCGCGTGGAGTGTTCAGGATACTCCGGCCTCATAAATTTAAATGTATGAATACTATTTATATAATTATTTATTATATACATACATTTAACAAAATTGTTTTATGATTAAAAAAAATTTTGCAATTGTCTTTATCTAAAAGAAGTTTAAAATATTGTCAAACTTTATTTAATTATAAATCATCAAAGAGAATAATAAAAATTAAGAATAATGTTGGGGTGTCAGAAACACTCGAGTAATGTAGGATCAATTATTATTTTATGATCTTACATATTACGCGTTCCATATTACTCTTTATAATATAAATGTTACTCTTTATGTAGACATTTTTTTTACAACATCACATCTTTTCCCTTACGTAAGATATGAATTTTTTACCCATGTGTCCTTAGCGCGTTGAACCACCTCCTTTGCTTCGCAATCCGCTGGATGGTTGCACAACACTGAGCAACCGTAAGGATAAGGATTAAAGAGGCCGGCAAACGGTCGAAGGGCGAACGGGGCTGCTCGGGTACAACCTGATAATTCCACGCTCTACGTATACGTGATATTTGAATAAATAAAGAGAAGGGCTGCTGTAAAGGGAACGGGGCGCACGTGCAGCGCCCGTCCCGATTTTGCTAATATTCTTTTCTTTTCTTATCTTCACCTTAGGCTTCGGTCTGCGAATCGGCTGAATTCGCGCGGACAGGAGACCAGTCGCACTTGCGATCCCAGACATTCTGATCGGCGATCGCTGATTCGTTTTTTCGTATATACTTTGTACGCAAATGAGCCGTCCGTTGGTTACTACCTTGATACCACATCGGCACGTTGCTACGTGTGACCGATGGGTCGATCGAGGAGAAGTTATGGCTTGCATCCGTGGTTACGCGATCACGTATGTACTTGGCCTCGCCAAGTACTTTACACGACATCGAATTCACGTCCTGACTTGCTTCAGAAACTAAAATTTCTCACAAAATGTCGATGTACTTACGCAAGTCGTAAGAACGTCGCAGAAATGTTTTACTGAGAGAGATTCAGCAATACATTTATTTTGCAACTGTTGAAAGTTTTCTTTTGCTGAAATAACTATTTATACAGTATACTTTATCCGAGAGACATTCTAGAAACGTTCTTTAGTATGTCTAGACATTTTTAGGATATCCTTTGAAGGTCTGTATATACTCTATCTGTATATACCGTATGAATATTCCTGTAAATCAATGATATGCAATCTGAAGTCTATGAGTCGGATCATCCATCTATGAATTTTTTGTGACCATCAACTCATAGCTAAAAATATAAAATTATATCTTATGCAAACAAAATAAATATTATACGGTCCAAAAGATTTCACCTATTTCTAAAAATGACCCTTTGAAAGTGACCTTTAAAAAAAGTTGCGTATAACTACTCTAGATATAAAAGTATAATCCAATCAACGCGAAGAAAATGTTCTGCATTAAATATGAACATTCATGGCACAGAAAAATTTATAAGCAGTAAGACGTAAAGAAAATCAACATGTTGAATTTGTTGTTGCTTATGTTATTGCCTTAGTCTCTACTGTGATTGATTAATTCGTTTATTGCTTAAGTTTTTTGTGTGTTATAATCCGTACATTGTGTGGCTACTGCTTTCCATTAATATAGATGAACTTTAATCTCAACATACATTTCATTTTTTTTTAATTTTTAGAATTAGAAAAAGAATGAAAAGTAAATTGAATCAAGATAAAAAATAATCTACATTATTTCTGTACGTTAGAATGTCCGACCTGAAAGAGATCACAGGATAATGATTGTTTAACAATCATTTAAGTTTATTATCTTTACATAATACAACTTTTGCAATTGTTTTTGTAATTTATAACAATAATTCCTTAGATCTTCATCTGCTCGTCCAACCATGGATTGTCCTGCGTGTGTCCAGGATATTTCTTCTTATATTTCAAACCAGTAACGAGAGTGGAGCTTTTCGGAAACGCCGTTTTGCCGTTAAACATCGTGTCAGTATCTGGAGAAAAAAAAATTTTATCGCTGTACAAACACTGGGCCGTTGGAAAAACAGCATGACAGTTCTGTAAATTCCGTGGGACATCTCACCCGGATGGAATCGATGATAATCCTGTTGGATGTGCAAATTCTTGGGTAAATCTATTTTACGCAGCGCTTCATATGGCGTCGTGCTGTCTACCGGTGTTGAATAAAATTGCTTCAGATCCCCTATGTATTTAAGATTCACACTTATTTATTATTGTCGATTGATCGATGCCATATAGCAAGTTGTAAAATATTCGTCATTTCTTATCGAGTTTTATGTCAAAAAATAAAAGAAAACCAAAGTTTGAAAGAGAGAGGCTGAAGATGGATCTTTATTTATTATTTTATTATTTAAATAAATAATATATTATATTATTATTATTATTTAAAAAATAAAATTTAAATAAATAAGAGGGTGTAAAAGTTGGCCAATTTCGATATTGCTTGGGAATGTTTTTTTTTTCAGTTGATAAATCTAACGAATCTTTGACACTTGATAGATCGAGAAACTTTTTTGTTTGCTAACCGATACTCTCGATGGTATAAAGCAATGAGTTGGGGATAGAATGCTTAAACTCCCTCTCGCAAGCGACGAATAGTTTAAAGCGAAGAACATGATCCTCGAGCTTTGTGTTATCATTCACAGGGATGGTTTGACTCTCGCAAATTCTGTCAATTCTCTCGGCTGCGTTTTCCGGGGGTTCGTAAGACTTTTGCGATCTCAGAAATCTGAAAGCAGAATATACGCAATCGCACTTCACATCGATCGTAAATAATTCGGCGTGAGATTTCTCGATGTAAAACAACATCTTGAATAATTTATGTCTGTTTCTATCTAACTTACTTTTTATTTTTTTAGAACTAGAAAAAGAAGATAAAGAGTAAGTTGAACCAGAAAATCTACATTAATAATCTACATTATGAAAATGGGCATTAAAACAAAATAAATTGAATTTCGATGGTTCTTCACAATGATATCCAATACTTGTCCAAAAGAAAATTTCGAAATGAAGAGTAAGAAAAAGAGAAAACGATCTTTTATTATTTATATCAATGTCACGAATGATGTCGTCAATTCGATTCTTGGCGAAAATAAAAATAAAAAAGAGTGCAAATTAAATGCAAGGAAAGAATAACAGAAGTATAATCGAAGCTTCTAGGCGAAAATCGAGACATCAAAATGTTTATGCTTCTGCATTTCGTTGGATCAATTTTCGTCTTCTAGAAGGGGTCGATTATATATCTTGCAATGAGATGAAAATTTCATAAGTGAGCAAATTTATTAAGAGAATCGATCAAATTATAAATAAAACTATAAATATTCTAATAAATTCACTCACTTGCAATTTTCATCTCGTTTTAAGATATACATACTCGATCTCTAGGAGGTTAATTATGATCTTGAAAACGAGGTGAAAATTATAAAAATGAACAAACTTTACTAGGTGTCGATCAATGGAATTATAAGCGTTTTAATAAATTCGTTCACTTTTGTAATTTTCACCTCGTTTTGAGAAGCACAATTAACTTGAAATCCAGACAATTAAGAGAGAGAGAGAGAGAGAGAGAGAGAGAGAGAGAGAGAGAGAGAGAGTAAAAAAGATAGATCTCTCCAAAATTGGCCAATAATAACTGCCAGGACCTAATGTTCGGGACTCGCGCACTTTTAGCATCCGGGAAAGGAATTTTGCTCTCTTTTTCTCTCCCGCGCGATGAAATTTGTCGTGACGCGTGAGAGGAAAGGACAAAGGGTCCTGAAAGAGGGGTATGGATGAAAGGAGGGGAAGAGATCGATGCCCGCTAACCGTACGGTGCTGCCATCCCGCGCGCTCTCCTTCTCTCATTGGACGGCGCTGAACATCGGCGTATTCGGGACATTCGAGTGCCCCGCACCGAAATACGCGAAACGACGTGCTGCGGTTCGCTTTCGTAAACAATAATCAATAATCAATCCTGGTATGTCGCGAGTACCATGCGACGCCGATCGCGACCGCCTTTTCCTCCTCGATTCAATGTCATTTTTCCAGAAGAATCGATCTTGTCGATGGCGATCATCACGGATTACCGGAAATCACTCCGTCGATTAATCTGTCTGTTAATCACGAGAAGAGGAGAAATTTAAATGAAAATCTTTTCCGCGATTATATATACACGGCGACAAGTACACAGCGTTCTTGGAGTCGACAAACCCGATCATATCGGAATCGTTTCTCGTATGTTTCTTCTACTATTCGATTTTTTTGTATGAAAAGAAATGTAATATTTTTCTGTTGAACCGACCCTTTTGTCTACCGTTGCTGCGTCACAGCGTCATCCGCCCATCTGGCGCTTTTGAAAACTCGCGGAAATCGCACGGTCAATTTTTCGCTCGGTAATTATCCCATTTCTATCAATGTAGTTTAATTTTAACCTTGATTCAACTAACTCTTTATTCTTTTCTAGTTCTGAGAATTAGAAAAAGATGAAAAATAAGTTGAACCGAGATTAAAGTTAATCTGTACTGATAGAATCTATACTGATAGATGGATATAAATCGCGCACAGTGGTATAGAAGTATAGATTGATAAATAAAGGCGTTTATTGTTGTACGGCAAGCTCTGTAAAAATATAGAAATAAGAGAAAAGTATAAAAATAGAAATATATAATTAATGAAGATAGTATAACAAAAATGAATTAAACTGATATTAAAAGGGAAAAAAAGATTGACGGAAGACACGAATGTAAAGAAACACTAATAAAAATGTAAATAGCGAACAAGTCGACTCAATCGACAGTCGAATATTCTTCTTCGGTCTTCCATTGTCTTTTCTTTTTTAGTTTTATTTATATTTTTAATATGTTGCGATTTTAAATCGGCACGTAGGTCGGATTTATGTTCATTTCTATCAATTTAAATTAACTTTAATTACAGTGTAACTTATTTTGTATCTTTCTCTAGTTCTCTAAGAATTATGCCCATTTCTATCAATATATTTTAATCTCAGTCCAACTGACCTTATCTTTTTCTAATTGTACAAATTAGAAAACAATAAAGACCAAGTCCGAGATTAAAGTTAATCTAGATTGATAAAAATAAACATTAATGGATCTTTCCCACTAATATAAATTAACATTAATCTCAGTTCAACTCACTTTTCATTTTTTCCAATTCTAAAAATTAGAAAAAGATAAAGAGTTGATCCAAGATTAAAGTGACTCTACATCGATAGAAATGGACATTAAAAGTCAAAGCGTGGCGTCACAAGGGTAGAAGAGCGAGGTGGGGTGCGGGCAGGAGAAGGGGGAGAGGGGAAGTTGAGAGAGAGAAGCGAGGACGCACGGCCCTGAGGACCTGTCAGATTCGTTGGGCGATTGGCTGAGGCGCAGGGGAGTGGTGGTAGGAACGGTTAATATGGCCGCGGTACGGCCACCGTTAGTAAGGCAGCGCCGCTACGTAACGCAAATTTTACCGTACGGCTGCGCGACGTGAGGCGCTACGACGTGTCGGACGCGAGCGCGCTTACCCGCGGGCGGCGAGCGATTCCCCGGCGGAGTCGATCCGCGCCTTCACCATCACCGTTGGCTTCTTCTGGTTTTTGTGCCGGGCGATTCCGCGACGCGCGATCACCTGCGGGGAAAAAAAAGCGAAAAGAAATGACGATCTCGGTATTCTCGGTTAGTGACGCGTGTGCAGTCGCCCACGAACGTGTGACTCGCGCGCGCGACAACGCGAGTGAATAACGTCCGATGAATGGCTGGATGGTGTTTGTGTGTGTAGACGTGGCGTCTAGAATTATTAAAAATTCACTGACCGTGCTGGCGGCGAGGATAGCCGATGTACTTTTAAACGCGCTGGTAAACGAGCCATGCCTGATGAGCGCCGCCATCTTTTCCACGCTCGTTGTCGTCGTCGTCGTCGCCGTCGCGGTGTCAATAGCAGCGGCAGCAGCACCGGTGGTGGTGGTGGTGGTAGTAGCAGCAGCACCAGCAGCAGCAGCGACGGTAGCCGTCGACGGCAACTAGAACTGCGGCAGTGAGCGTTAGGGGGCGCACCCGGCGGCTGCGCTTGTTGTTTCCCATCGCCGCCCGCCGCCATTTTACGGTCGCCATTGAGAAGTGAAAACCCTCCTAAATGTACGAATCCGAGTGAATAAAGCGTGGTGTTTAGCCCGCTCTCGTACCGCGGAATCCTCGTGCAAGCGGGATAAGATCGGCGACGGAGTTGCCGTTCGAGTGTTAGACTAAATGAGTGTACGGCGTACGATGGAGAAGCCATGACGCATCCGTCGCATCAAACCAACGGCGCCAGCCTGGAGGATTGCCACACGAATTTCTTCGCACTGGTGAGTGGATTGTCCGCGTATTCGTGCGCGAGCGCGCGGACGCACATTCTTTGCTCGCAATTCCGATTCCCTCATCCTTGTCCCCGGGAATACCCAATGATACTGGGAGTCTGCTCCGAATTTCCGCGCGACTCGGCGAACGCGAGACAATCTCGCCTGGAGAACGGGAGCGAGAGACCCCCCCAAGGTGGCTACTGCTGCCGCCGCCGTCGTCGTCGTCGTCGTCGTCGTCGTCGTCGTCGTCGTCGTCGTCGTTGTCGTCGCCGTCGTCGTCGTCGTCGTCGTCGTCGTCGTCGTCGTCGTCGTCGTCGTCGTCGTCGTCGTCGCCGCCGCCGGCGGCATCCCACGGCCCCGTAACGTCATGTCGCGACGACGCGAATACGAGCGAGCGAGCGAGGAACCGAACGAACGAGTGAGCGAATGAGCAATAAGAGAGAGAGAGAGAGAGAGAGAGAGAGAGAGAGAGAGAGAGCGAGCGCGACGACCACCGTCGCGCCCTGAACATTAACCTATATTCGTGGCGACGTCGTCGAGTGTCTTGCACTCATCGTTCATCGTCGCCGACATCAATGTCAACCGTCGACATCGTCATCGTCGTTGCTGTCGCTCATGTTGCTGTTGTGTATCGCCAGAGTCTTCCTCCCCTCCTTTCCCCTCCCTCTCTCCGCCGCCTGTCCTCGCGGCAGCTCCGTGCGTGCGTACGTACGTACGTACGCACATACCGTACATACGTATGTGTGTGTGTGTGTACGTTAGTGAGATTTGAAGTTTTGTTGTGTCGAGCCAATGTCACGCCTGATTCACGTCAGACCCCGAAGTCTTACGGTACGTTGGACGAGACGGGGAAAAAAAGAGTCGGCGTGCGAGTGAACAAGATAGAGAAAGAGATAGAAAGAGAAAGAGCGAGAGAGTAACGAGTGGGAAGTGCAAGGAGGGAGAGAAGTGACCGCGAGAGGAAAGAACACAAGCAGGCAAGGCACGCCGTGTGTCCCGTAGTCTCTCTTTCCGTCTTTATCTTTCTCTCTTTCTCGTTCTCGAGTAATATCGCATCTCATATACCTTCCAAGTGAGAGATACTCGATTCTCAGTATCAGTCGCGGTCTTGTCTTTTCGAACCGCGAAAATTCCGCTGAGAAAATCGCTCCGCCGACGTTCCCGCCTCCTGGATTCTTTTTCGCAAGCGCGCGTGAAGGAGGAGGAAACGGCAGCGGTGGCGACGCGAGAACGGATAGCGGAGATATCTCTCTCTCTCTCCCCCTCTCTCTCTCTCTCTCTCTCTCTCTCTCTCTCGCGTAACATTCCTTTCGCCTCAACGACTTGTGTCGCGAGGGAGGCAACAACGTGCGGCGTCTCGCGTCGCGTCGCGCCGGCCGCCGTCGAATGAAAACTGTGTCAGGCGATTTTACAAAGTTCGCTTCTCCGAAGGCGAGATCGCGCGAAGCATTACACGCGAGTATATATTCGTTTTTCGGTGGTCACGATCATTTCCACGAAGACGAAGCGCATGCGAGAGATTGGTTGTTATATGCGGCTAGCTATCTATCTATACCTATACCTGTACTTTATATCTATACCTGAAGAGGAAGGTCTCTCGTCGCGCTTCTTTCTATTTTCAAGCGTTACTTCTCTTTTCTCTACTCATTCCGCGCGCGTGCGTACGACTTACGCATACACGCGCACGTCACGCATTCGACACAGAGACTAACGGCGAGGCGGACGCATTTTTCTACCGTTCGTTGCATCTCGCGTTCTCACAGAGTGCGGCTAAACGTCACTGCGAACGGACGACGCGTCCGTCTTTCTTTACTCCTCGAAGCTCCTCGTCGCAGCTTCGGCGTGTCATGGTTTACATATTTTGTGACCTGCAAGAGTCCAGATTCTCCGGGATCGTTGAAACTAGAAACTCCACAATTGAGTCTGGCCACGAGTAGTTTTGTCAAAATAAGAGTGAAAGAGAAAAGTATATATACTATTTCTTTTTTACATATGCTGTCTCATTCTACATTGAAAAAAATTATTAACAGCATTGTTTTCAATGAAAATAATCTTATTGATTTATATATAACGGTATTAATGAGAGAAAGAGAAAGAAACAAGTAAAATTTTATTAAATCAAAGGAACACGAAATATTTGTTTTATTCATAGTGTTATTGAATTAATAAAGATGTTATTTTCAATTAAAATGTAATGCTATTAATATAATGTTACTTTTTTTTACTTTTTTGTAACTTAGACTTATTCATTCTAATTTACTGAAGTTGGCCAAAAGGATAGGCCAATTAATAATATTATATATCATATATCACATGTAGTGGCTAAATTCTGTTATAGGGTTGATTCTCCAAAGACTCTTGAAACGAATGTCACAGAAGGATGTTTCTTAGAGATTTTACAAATCTCAAAATCAATAAGAAAGTCTTATGTACTCTCCTCTAAACAAAGTAGTTAACAACAGACGACAGGTTTGAAAGTATAGCCAAAAATAACCAGATAGCTATCTTTTCCTTCTCATCGAGGACGTCTCGACCATTCATTTTTTCGCCCAGTCTGTGCGAATCCATAATTTATAGATGGTAATGTAAAGAATGTATGTCAATTTGCGAAACAATAGAAGAGTTCAAGGGTGTTTGGATAAATGAAACACAAATATGAAACGTTGATTGTAAGAGAGAAAAAAAACTTTTGGAGTGTAATCTATTAAAAATATATTAATAAAATAATAAAGGAAATAAATATATTAATGTCAGAAATTAATAAAAGTAACTGATAGAATAAATAATTATTGAAAAGTACTAGTAAAAGTACTAGTAGTAAAATATATGAAAAATCGGGAAAATAGGATATGAAAAATGAAAACAGGAGCAAAAAAAATTCTTAAATGACAATATCTTTTTATGTGAAAATAATGTTTAAACAGATATAAACAGAATAATGCAAAACAGTCGATTAAGATTAATGTAATTTAATAATATAAATTTTGTACGAGGAACGATACTTAAACCACACATAACAAAATCTGAAAAAAATCGAAAATCATATTCGCATTCTCATTACTTGGGCATAGTATTTATTTTTGGAAAATAATATTGATAATAACGAACATTTTCCATTCAGTTTCGAGCTTCAATTTATTCCGTATTGTATGATTCATGAAAAAGAGTTATTTATAGTAAGTTAAGAATATTTAGTATGCGAATATTATCGTGTGAAAAAAATCAGCTCGATTCATTTTGTGTATCATTGACAGATTTTTGCGCGGCACATATCCTCATTTATTTACAATCGATATTTATTATTCCCTAAAATCAGCAACAAGCGCGACGATTTTTCGCTTTCGGTTAATGGGAATTTTTCCAGAAAAAGAATAAAAAAAAGAGATACATTTTATTCGCATATTTTACATTCGTGAAATTTGCACCAATGACATGTACATTTTTACAATGTAGAAGTCCGACAGAAACCGTTTTTAGTTTTATGCGGACGAGCGGAGTTGCGCTTTAAATTGGCGCGTGTTCCGTTGAATTCCGACAAAGCGACGGGCTTTGGAACTTTATGAAAACTGCGCTGCGAGTTAATTCGACCCGTCAACGAAGCAGCGAATATATTTTATTCGATTAAACGCGATATATATGCATACACAAATTTATTGCAAAATCTAGCAAAGCTGTTTGATCGCAAAGGTATTGCAGCGGCTATTGACATCCCAATTAGTTTCTTTATGTCGCACGAATATGTGTACGAATATGTGTACGATTAACACAATTTAATCAAATATCAGTCGCAATTAATGACCTGAATAATTAATGGATAAATGGAGAAGCATTATGAAGGTTTTTATTACAGAAATTATTGTGTTAATCTCTGTAATCATCTTTTCCATGATTTGAAAAGAGAGAGAGATAAGATTTTTTTTCAATTATATGTTTATCACCTAAAAACTGTAATAAATTCACATAAATAGTTTTCGCATTCTCGAAAAGATTAACTCATGCGGATGGTTCGTGGAACGTATGATTGTATACATCTACCTAATTAATATTTACACAGAAATCGATTTGCATAAGTCACGCCACATTTCTAAGTATCGAAGCATAATTAGAGAATTTGTTTAGAGCTTATTAATATTCAATAGAAATTGAGAACCAAATGTATTACCTATGTGTCAGATGCGACCGATTAGCTCCGCTTTTATTCGCGCGACATAAACATTTTTTTTCTAGCATAAATATAGTGAAAAAAGAATGATGTTACATCAACAATATTGTTTTAATTAAAAATAATTTTAATTCAATAACACTATTAGTAAAACAAATACATTATGCTTGTGTTTTAATAACATTTTATTTGTTTCATTAATACATGTCCTGAATTAACAAGATTATTTTTAATTAAAATAAAATGTTGATGTAACATTATTTTTTTCAGTGTAAGAAACAATTGTATTATAAAAGTGTAATAGAACGTATATATGTATAAAGTACATCTTCATATTATTAGCTTTTAATTATTCAAAAATTCACAATTCTTTTGTCTATAGAATATCATTTCGAGCGACTATTTTCTGGAATGAAGTTGGTGTAAACATCAGAATTGTCCGTGAAGACAAGTCTGACGATGCGAAACGTGTAACGATTAAGCTTAATTAAGACGACGGCGTGTTACATTATTGATATACACAACG